AACACTGCGCAACCGATTGCGCTGTTGGCAGCAGATGCGAATGGCATCTGACAAGGAGATGTCCGGGATCTCTTTCTTCAACTTCAGAAGCTGCAATCGTCGTACTGCGTGAAGTCGTTCGACTGTACCCATGCGAGAGTGAGAGTCCTTGGGAACGAGCAGCAGCTTGATGTTGTACTTGTCAAAAAAGTCTAGGTACTTCTGTGACATATGAGATCCTGATGAGTCTGTTCTGAATCGTTTTGGTGGCCCAAAAACTTGGATCCATTGCTCCTCCAACACCTTAAGCTCGATCTCTTCAGTTTCACGGTCGACCAAAGCGTTGACCTCATAGCGGGAATAAACATCAAGGATTGCAAGGACACGCTGTTTGCCACCATTTTCATCCCACTTGAGGTGAAAAACATCAGCTTCCAACAACTCATTGAAGTGTTGAGCTTGAGGGAGTGAAGCAGGATTGTCAAGCTTCTTGGGACCATGTTCCTGACAAATATCGCACTTGAAGGAACGGGCACACTGGATGATGGAGTCGTTCATGTTTGCATCTTTCAACGCTCGAACAAATCGCTCTGTTCCAGGGTGACCGAGTTGACGATGAAGCTTCGTGACAACTTGCAGTGCTTGTTTTCCATGACTTTTCATCAGCTGTTTGTTTTCCTCCGAGACAACTGAGGTTTTGCTGTTCTTTGTTTCTTCAACTTCTTCAGCCATGTAGATCTTTGCAATCTCTCTCTGCTTCCAACGCTTCTCCATGTCCTCCACAATGGCTTCACTTGCTTTTCTCACAAAGCCCAGCTCATAGTTTTGCATTTGCTTCAGTTGGGCACTTTTGCCTTCCATAGCCACATGTGTTCCGGGTTTGCAGTGACAGGGCAAGTCCATTGCAGAGAAAAGATCTTGGCTGTTAGTTCGCAGTCTGGTAGGTTTCTTCACAAGACCTTGATCATTTCCTCGGCGATCATAGAAATGAAGTCCAGTCCTGCAGCGGTTGCAAACAGCATCCATGCTAGTGTCATGGATCTCCTTCATGGTTTCCGTCTCCCAAGAAGTTGCACCATGTGGGTTTTCTATGGCGCATCCTGCACAAATGGCTTCACAGGTTTTGAAGACTTCCTTCACCAGCCAAAGGTGTGTGCTCTCTTCCAACTGTTGGTCAATTTTGAGCTTTTCTTTTGCCTTTTCATCTCTAGCATTCAGTCGTTGCATTGCACTCCATTTTGTGCACGGTGGTGCCAACCAAATGAAGTGTGGGCGAACCTCCTCGATGAGCTTCAGGAATGCTTTGGCATGACTTTTCTTCGTGAAGTCCCAATCTGGCAGTCCGAAGGGCGAGACTTCAACTTCACCATAGTGATTGGCCAAATACGTAGAAAGATTTCCATTGTCCACATAGACCTCGAAAAACTTCAGATCTTTGCATTTTTGCATCTTCTTGATCACCTCTTCAGAGATTTTGTGGATTTCTTCTTGCTCATTGTCGAGGACGATATGGTCATCGGCATCACAAAGATCTGGCTCAATCACGGGTTCGATTTCAAAGTTCTCATGCGCAGCTAGCACATCAGAGGTGTAGTTCACCATTTCCGTGTACTCCATGAGGTTCAGCAAATAGTGACCTTTCTTTCCTCTCAACGGCTCAAACCATGGAGATTCACCAATTCGGATTTTTCCGGAGGCATAGTCCTGTTTCACCTTCCAGGCCTCAAGAGTCGGCCTAGCCAGCAAAAAAGGTGTATTTCCAGGCACAACGGACGCAGTCAGCTCCAGGACCTGATTCTGGATGACGGCCGTGAAGGTGACATCATACAGGGACATCAATGTTTCACCACCACCGAATTTGAAGCTCCTGATCATGGGTGTGACGACGACTGGTTTGGTGGTGTCAGAACCATAATGCTCCAACCATTGTTTCCAAGAGGTTTCACCAACAATGGTTCGAGTAGCTCCTGAGTCCATGATGGCCAGGCCAGGAGACAAATCAACGAAGTGAATCTCGTCCTCGATGTTAGGCATGTCGTAGGTCTCCTCTTCCTGAACCATAGAGATCTGCTCCTCAGGAACTTCTTTCACTCCATTGGCCTGCAAGCGGTATCGTTTGAACCGTGGACCATGCGAAGATGTAGATCCTGACAAGGTGGACCTGATCTCCGAGGCATTTGTACTTGCACTAGCATTGAAGGGCTTTCGGATTCCAGAATTCGGTCGTCGGTTGAAAGGAGTTCGTCGGAAGCCACCAGTTTTGCCTTTTCCTTTTCCTTTGTTCTGCTTTCCTTTTCCTTTTCCTCCTTTTCCTTTTCCATCACTTTTGCCACCCTTGGAGTAGCCAGTGAACTCTGGTCCAATGGCCATGACGGGGTAGAATCCACGGGCAAGCGCTAACTCCTTCATTCTTTTGCGACTGTCCAGGTAATTCACAAAAGCTTCCTCGACCTGGTCAGCACACGATTCCAGTTCATCCGGAACCTCATCTTCTTCTTCCAACCATTCTTCTTCGTAGAACACATCTTGTGCCCACCAATCTTCTTCATCAACTTCCTCATAGTATTCTTCTTCCATTTCCTCCTCATAGAAGGTGTCGTCCTTGAAGCTTTTGGTGTGGTAGTTCAAGTCCTTATTGTTTGGTTTGTGGTCGCCACCGAAGATCCTCATCAAAGCCTGACTGACTTTGTCATAGTCAAGATCACCTCCGCACATGGATTTCACCTGCACATGAGTCCAGCGGGGAACACCTGCACGTGTCATGAGGTGCCAACCTGCAAGCAAGGGAGGTATGGTGATCTTGATCTCAGACATCTTCTTCATCATCGATTTGTGTCTCACCAAATAGGCTTGCAGCTCCTCATGTTTGTTTCGCTGAAACTCTTCAAAAAACTCAGCGCAGCGACTTGGGATCTCAACCATCTCTTCATACTGAAACAAGTGGTCCAGCAGCTTCACAAGGGGCTTGAACGGTTCTGTGGAATCTTGTATCTCCTTGTAGTCCAACTGTTCGCATGCTTCCCATGCAGAGTCTTTCAACAAACTCACAACAAGCAATGCGCCCTCGATCTCCGCATCACGTGACCTCCGCCTGCACTGAAGTGAAAACAACTCTAGGCGGCGACGAAAACTCCGGTATGTCTTCTGACTAAGACCATCAGCCAGAGGAGCGGCTTTGGCGAGTCCTGAATCTAGACCTCGGTAAGGTGGTTCAGATCCTCTACCTCCACCATTGGCTCCCACCATTGGCTCTGGTAGGCGAAGATGGGGCACTTTCAGCTTCTTCTTCCTGCTGCCTTCTTCTTTGTTGGCCTTTTCCGGCCATGGTGCACCGAACACGATCGTCGAGACGACGTTATCCTTAACTGCAAGGGGGATCTCAAAGAAGTCCTCAATCAAGTAGTGCACCCTTGGTATACTCAGAAAGGAACGTGTTGGGCTCCGCTACCAATCTCGACTTGTAGTTGAAGCTCACAAGGTCTTCCAAGTCAATCTCAAATGAAGACGCACGATTTCGAGCGAGTGGCGCGCCGGGGGTGACTCAAGGGCCCTACAACATTGAACATACGATGGCCACAGACATCGGCCCAATTCACCTGCATGTCTGGTTCATGCCAACTTCCTTTGGAAAATCACATGATTGCGTCAGTCAATCAACACAATGTGTATGCAAAATTTAAAAGTATGCTATGTGCATTTGTTTTGCCAAGTGGCCAACAACTTTGCATGAACATGCTGCGCGCTTCCGCTCACCTACCTTTCCTGTAGCAACCTATAGCCCCCGCTTCTCTACATTGACGTTGATTTTTGCCTTAGTGCACTCTGCATTATGTTTGCATTCTGTGTGCATGCTTGTCATTCATTGCGTATTTGTGTGTGTGTTGTTTTCTCACTTTGTTCTGTATTACCATGCCTGGTACAGTGCTTTTGTTTTGCCTGTCCAAGGCCTTTTGTGCAACTTGGTGGAAAAACGGCACCAAGGTTCTGAAGGTGTTTGAGACAAACTTTCTTGTAGGTAGAAGGTGCCCACGTGGTCTTTTGATTCTTTGGAGCAGAAGGTTCTCTTAGGGTGTCCATGTGTCCTCTTTTCCTTGTATGCTGCGTGCTTGTTTTTCTCGGTCAGGATGGTTTCTGAATATACCGCACGGATCAAGTGTCCCGGCTGATGGCCGAAGGCTGTGCAACGAATGTGATAATTATATGTGTTTTTCTGGTGTACATGCTGACGAAGTTGCTGAAACATGTGTGTATTGATGTTTGTAGCAGCTGCAGAAGTCCATGAAGGGCAAAAAACGAAGAGAGCAGAACTCACATGATTGTGGTCTGACGTAGAGTTTGTAGTCTGCCTCAAAAAGAAGGTCTCTTTGAATAGAATTGAACAGAGTATATGAATGTTGTCCCTAGACAAGATACCCTTTTAATGAGCTTAGCCTGGAAAGACCTCTCAAGAGTCATTGCTTAGATGTTTTTTTTACTGTTGGTGTTGTCCTGTGCATGATATGTAGCTGTGTTAAATAAGTGACTTCTCTCTTTCCTAAGTTGCAAGTTGCTTTTTGCGCCTTCTGCGCTCTCAGGTCATGGCCCTGGAAACGCTGCGATCTCGAAGGGCCATGGACAGTGAACGCGTCCGAAGGCCGAGCCTTCAAAGGCTTTCGAGAGATCCCCAAGGTCGATTTCAAGAGCTTTGGCAAGAGCTTCGTTAAAGCCTCAAGAGCTCTAGACATGCACATACATAAAGATGATTAGAGATGTATATAATTGACGAATCTATGTTGTTATTCCTTTAAGGTATTACATTAGGCCGAACAGGAGGCCACGGAGATTGCAGGGCCTTTTCATGTTTCGAAGCGTTTGAATACTGAGGAAGGAAGTTGCCGCGGCGGGTATATCGCTGAAAGGCATCAGAGCATCTTGAACAAAAAGGTGGTGCGCAAAAGGTGCGGATGAAAGTGTCAAAAAGTGTGCAAACTCGACTCGCAAGGCCGGCCTTGAACTTAAGTGTCCCTTTGCAGAGCTCTAAGGCTCACTATGCCTCTCCATTTGCCACGACCACAGGTAGTGCAGTGGCGCAAGACTAAGTCTGTCCATGTGCCTTTGTTGTGAAGATGTTGTGCTTTGTTGAATTCCTCCTGTTTCTGCATCAGGTCCAAATTGCACAACCACCATATCACTCTCAGCCGAAGCCTCAGTGTCATCACAAATGTGCTTTTCCCTGTTCACAGAACAGCACGAGGCGTTCAAGATCAGCTTGTTGTATTACACGTTGGATTACTTGTACAGCAACATTGCAGTCAAGAACTGGAGGAAAGCAAACTGGAAAGATACACACTCGAGTTCACTAGGTCCTTGGAGACAAAGGGTGAGAACAAGGCACTTCTGTCGAGTCCTACAGTTAGCTCTTGTTCTTGCTTTACATGTTGTTTTCTTTGAGGTTTAAAGGTGCTTTGCCAATCCTTTCAAGAGATCGTTTGAAATCTTCTTAATGCTGTTGATTCGCGTGTGCCAGGTTGAGCCACTTTTGGCGAGCGCTGCAGTATTGGCATTTGAGGACCTTGAGAATTCAAGTCAACATGTCAACCACTACAGACGGGTAGCTGTATCAAAAGACAAGAAGCACGGCGTCAGGAGATACTGTCATGAAACTCAATGCACCCATGCACACTGACTCTCAAAATTGTCGACTTGCTTTCTGCGCATGCAGTTCGCACAGGGGTTTTAATACAGCAAGACTGGGGACTGGCAGGATATGGCCATCCGTGTTTATTCAGCAAAATCCAAAGCATTGCTATCAACTTTGCCGCCACCTCCAAACAGCGAGGCTGAATAAGGAAACCCTCTTTTCTTTTTTTCTGTCAGAGTTGCCTGAAGCCGAAGCCAAGTACATTTTGTAGCATGTCCAATGTGCACAACATTGTTTGACTAACATCTAAGCTGCGTTTGCATACTTTGTATCGTATTGCGACTTCAATCGAGTGCCAGGTGCAAGTTCTGGAGGTGTTTGTTTGCCCCGTGAGCTTCTTAAAGCCTCAGTCGCTGTGGTACAAGATGCAAACCTGGATGGGAGTGAGCTTTACTTTCTCGTAGTTCTCCAAGGTTTGGCAGCTTCTAATCCTTTGGCTCAGTTCCGAAGAGGCAGAACTAACACAAAAAGTCTACAGCATTCCAGAGCTTCAGTCAAGAGCTGCTTGAATTAGCGTCAAGCATCATTGCATCGGGCACGTCATGAACATCATCAGGTTGCGATTTTCTACGTGCCAGCAGCACCACTGGAAAAGAAGCAATCCAAAGTGGAGGAGCAGCACTTGACCAGTCAATACCAGTCATACATTCTCTTCTCTCTCTCCACCATGGACAGTACTGGCCGGACAGGTCACTCCACTTGATTCCCAAAGCGGCAAGAATTTAGTACCATCAAGTTTGAAGGGTGTGACAAGTGACGTCATACTCCTGAACCTGTACGGTTCCATTTGTTGCCGACCCATGCTGTGTTGTGAGAACAGGCAAGAAGAACAAACTTGTGTTTCGCCACAAGGGCAGCGGCAAGTATGTCATACGTTGCCCCGCTTTATGTCAATCCAGTAAGCATTTAGTGTGATAACATTTAATATGTACTCGTACCTTTTACCGCAAGTTGTGTGGTTCCTGCAAGTTCAAGCGAGTGGTTGACTTGGATGCCTTTCAATGTCATACAGGCAATAAGGGCACGAGGACGGTGGGCGACAACGTGAACATGCGAACAATGGAATTGTCATGCAGATGGCTTGCCTCGAAAATAACTGATTCCGGAATTGATTTAGTTTCGCTCCTTTTTCATCGGAGCTCACACGCCTTCGCCAGCTCTTCAGACACAATATCAAAGGCAGGCTAACATTTTGGACCCCACCCCTTACGATCCAACCGAAGGATCATGTCCAACCGAAGGATCATGTCAACGGACACAAAACGTGAGACGTAAATGGAACATGATATTGGCAAGAAGTGCTCAAAACAAAATTTGCGACCTCACGCCCCCCAAAATAAAAAAGTTAAACACCTACATTGTGACATAAAAACATCAAGTGTTCCCCCAGTGGCCCTGCGAGCATTTCGCGTAGAAACTCGAAACGCAAATGAATTACGGTCAAAAAGCACGAAGGCATAGGGTCCTGGAGACGTTCGAGGCAAATCTTTGCTTTTTAACAAGGGTGTGATGCTTGGGAGTCCCATACTTGCCACATGAATTGGACTTGTTATGCTGTATTTTGAAAACAGGCAGGAAGAACAAACCCCTCTGCCTGGAGCAAAATTCCATTGACAACATTCGCGCCAAAATGGAAGTTGAGGACAGGTTTGCAAAAGTGACCGCAGTGTGAAGGAGAAAGTGCCGCGAAGCCGAGCAGCAACACCGTTGCTTCTGCGGCGCTTTGGTATTGTGGAGGCCAGTCATTGTGGGGTTCAAGAAAAATGATTTGAAAGCCTAGCGAAGCCTTTGGGCAAATTGTTCAGGCCTTGGCATACGATTTGTATGACTTAATGAATTCAAACAGTGATGGACACGGTCTGTGATTGTGAGGGTTGAGTGTCGTGTGAAATGCACGTCGAAGGTGCGGACTCTGATGCTCGACAAGGAGCGAGCGTGAGAGTGTAAATTGAAGGGACCGCAGCACGCCAGACTGCAGAGGATTGTCCCTTGTTATTTGTGTTCCTTGCATCAGTCATCGGTTTTGATGCAGTTTTTTGTTGTTTAAAGTTTGGGCCAATCACTAAATCACCTTGAGCAAGCCTGCGTCATTCTGAGGACCTCTCCCGTGAAAACTTTTGCTGCGTGTCAATCTATTACGGGCCGCCCCTCGGACCGCTGCAGAATAAGAACGAAGCTGTTTCCGAAACACTGGCATCAGAGAATTTGACAAGTGACAAGTGTTTTAAGATTTGAGCAACAACCTGAACATGCAACCATCCTTCACTCTTTTCCCCGCAGAACGAGTAACATTCTGAAGTGTGTGAATCTGAGCTAAGGCTTCCCAAAGGCGACACCCTTATGCACACCGTCAAGGAGGGCCTTCTTGGGTGACCTTCATGCTTGCTAAGTTCACCTAAGTTCACCCAATGACCGCATACGAATGACAAATTTATATTTAAGAAAACCACTTAGGCTATCTCTGAGTGTTTTTCCAAATACTAAAAAAGCAAAAACACAGCGAAAAACAGCAACTACAAAAAGCAAAAGCAAAATAATGCGAATCCAAAAAGCAAAAAGATGCAAAGGAAAAAGCAAAAACTAGAAAGCAAAAAGCGAAACAAAAAGCGAGAAAAACAGCAATGCAAAAGCAAACAGCGAACAAAAAAGCGGAAAAAAGTAAAAAGAAAAAACAATAGCACATGCAAACGCAAAAGGCGAACAAAAAGAAAAAGCGAAAAAAAGTAATTTAAAAAACAAAAAAAAACCTAACAAAAAAGCGAAACCCAAAAAATAACGAAACACCAAATGCGAAAAAAAGAATGCGGGCAATAGAAAAAACAATCGAACAAAAGATATAAAGAAACAAATGAAAAATCAAAAAGCAAAGAACAGAACAAGCAGAAAATTGCTTTCGCTTTGTGAAATGACTTGCCTTGCCTCAGGTGGGATTCCTGCGTTTGAGGGTGCGTGATTTCTCATGTCCGCGGCCATTAGGCCTAAGCCATTGGCTTGCTACGCTTCAGGCGAAAAGTGTGCCTGGAACCTCGTTCGGTCGAGTTTCCACAGTGGCACCGGAGCCTGCCTTTTTGCTGGGACCTTACGCTTCGCCTTTGACTTGGCTCTGCGCTGCTCCTTGCTACTCGCACCTCGCTTTTGACCTCCTCTTTGGCCAGAACTTTGCACTGTGGCTGTCTTGGACCTGTTCGCTTGGCGGTGTTCCGGGTGACGGACCTTGAGACCAAGAGAGTGATCGTTGTGGCGACACCTTTTTCCGACCACTGGACTGTCCTTGTCTCTTGACACCTTTTCTCGCCCCAAGGGCTACTTCCTTGTGTTCCACCTCGGCCACTAGGCCTTCGTTGAGGACCTTGACTTCTTCGTCCTCACCCTTTTGGAGTGACTAGGCTCCACCTTTTGCTTGAAGGCCGACCGCACAGGGCCTTGGACGTTGCACGTTGCTTTTTGGAGGCCTTCGCCTTTGCCTCCACCTTGTTGCTGAGATGGCTTCGACCTCAGAAAGAGTCGGGAACATCGAGTTGGTATCGTTTCCCGACGTGGACAGGGAATCCTGCTGAATGGCGGCAGTTTCGCCGCGAGATGAACTGGTGGATTGCTTCGCTTGACTTTGAATCGTTGCAAGAAGTTCAATGTTGCAGCCCGCTGGGCTTTGAGACAGCATGGAGTTGTTCGAGCGCGAGGTGAAGAGTTCGACCCGTCGGAGCTTGCTGGAGTTGCTGAGGAATCCATGGAGGATCCCGAAACCAAGGAGGAGATCATTGTCACTCCAGCTGACCCTTTTGCCGGCCTGACCAAGTTGGCAAATCCTCTCTGGATAGAAAAGGGGAACTTTGCTCCATGTACTACTAGGAGATCAAGCGGAACCCTGGCGAGAGGATCAGTGCATTTTGCACCAGATTCCGCGCAGGTCTCAAGAGAGAGGGCATCACAATGCCTGAGGAAGAGCTTGGATGGATGCACAAAGAGCGGTTCGGGTTGGATCCCATCCGCAAGCAGTTGCTGGAGACCGCGCTTGGCGGTCGAGAGTCCTATGATGTTGCGGAGACAGAGTGTCTGAGGTTGTTTCGCGACCTGCACACCTCGATCTGACCCGCTCTACAAGGCAAAGCATGCAGACAAATCACCCTTGCTCCAGCGTTTCCTACAGTCACACAACAGTAGCAACGCCTCTTACAGGACACCTAGTTTGGCGACGCCCTCAGTTCTTTCGTTTCGGACCCAGAGTTCAACTTCGAGTAGGCCTCCTTTCAGACGGCTTGCAAGCCAAGCTGCGCAGCCTCGATAGGCCTTAGACAGAGCTTCCTGAGGATGCCGAGCTCTACGAGTCTGCTGAGGAAACCCTCAATCCTCAGATCATAGAGGAAGTGTTGCAAGCTGAGGCTGAACTGTTGGCCAATGAGATTCAGGAGCTCCAAGACCAAGGATGCAGTCTTGGATGAGTTGGAATCCGGCCTTGAGCAGGCCGCTGAGAGCTTGGTGACCATGCGTGAGGCTCGCAGTCGAATCGCTGAGGTGAAGAAAGACAGAAAAGGAAAGCCTCATGGCAACCAAGTCCCCAAGCAGAAAGCCAACGCCCGCTGCTTTGATTGTGGAGAACCTGGACATTGGGCTGGCGATTTGGCTTGTTCAAAGCCGCAGCTGGACTTGGCAAGTGGCAAGGGCTCTTCAACCCAAGTTGCAAAGCAGGTGCGCGCGACAGAAGCCTTGAACGCAGAGCACTTGTTGGACGATGAAGCGACATTGGTTGAACCGCCTGTTGAGCATGAAGTGTTGACATTGGCACCAGAGGCTTTTGCACTGCCCTTGTCGGAAGTGTTGGCCCAGTCGCATGGCACAGTTGTTCAAAGCTCAAGCTCTCGCTTGGCGGCAAACAAACAATTTGTCGGCGCGTTGGATTCGGCGCGCAATCGCACCTGTGCTGGCTCCACCTGGTTGAAGTGTTATTTTGATGTTTTGCAGCATGCTCCCAAGTTTATCCAGGACCTGGTTTCCAACATCCCCGAAAACGAGCTCTTCAGGTTTGGAAATGGTGGCGCCCAACGTTCCAATGTCAGGTACAGGCTCCCTATGACGGTTGGCTCCACCCTCATGGTGGCCTCCTTGGGATTGTTGTTGGGAAGATGTCGTTCGCTCGGAAGAAACTCCGCGCCGACCTGGTCGGTGGAGAGCCGCTTGATTTGGGCCAGCTCGCGGCAGGTCATTTCACCCTGCCTTTGCAGCCGGCAAAAGCCTGGGCATGTCCGGGCACTCAAGATGGTGTGGTTGGGATGCAGTTGAGTAGTTTTTGGTTGGTGGAACAAGAAGCTTCGTTTTCGTTTGTCTCATTTTGAAGATGTTTTGCAAGCACTTGCCTCACATCACGAGCACTTGGTCACTGAGAGCTCTTTGTCGGCTCAAGCAATGAAGGTGGCTCAAACCCCACCGGCTATCTCGACGACTTCATCGACTACCTCTAGCCGACCGACGACTTCAAGTGACTTAAGGACTCAATGGCATCCACGGTGGTCATGCACTCAGGACGACCCAGGCATGATCGGACATGGCGAAGGATGGTTCTTCGCACGCGTGCCAGAGCAGAATGGCACGACCGTATTGCTCTTATGGTTGCTGCAGCGACCTCAGCTTCGTTATGCTCCCTTCCCGTATCCAAGCGTCTCGCATGTCAAGCAGTGGGAGGATCAGGCTGTTTCAATGACCCTCCAAAAGCCAAAGGCTATCACGCACTTTCATTGGCAGCGAGGCCGGGTCAACAAGGTGTACACCACCAAGAACCTGTTGGAGCTTGGGCAAATCCGGAACAGAGTCGGGTTTCAGTTCGCCTTCATGGAGGATGTTCTTCTTCAAGGAACGCTGGCAGCCCGTGCAATGAAGGGACTGTTTTCAGCTGAAACGGGAGGCCATCCAGGAGGCTCAGATCGAAGCAGCCGCTCTGACTCGCAAGGGAGAAGAAGTGGACGCGGTTCGGCGGGTGGTTGGCCCAAAGCAGCAGCTCGACGAGTTCTACCGATCCGGCACCTTCAGCAGCTCAGGCAAAAGTCAAGCCATCGTCAGCGCCCACACTGCCGGCAGCTCATCGACGCCTCGACGGTCCGCGCGTGATCTCCACGCAACAAGACCTCAGGCTCGAAGAAGCGTCTTAGCCTTCGTCGATGGCATGGTCCAGCTTTGCTTGTGGCCTTGGAAGGTCGCGCAAACGCGTTTGTGAGCCGCGATGTACAGTTGACGAAGCGCGCTCTTGAACATGTTCGAGCTGCTAGCGCCATGGAACAGGTCAAGCTCTGTTTGGGAGGACGCCATCCAAGAGGTAATCAATGCTGCGTGTCATGACCATGACTCGTGCTTCCAGCGGTCGAGACTCGGAACCTCCACTACACGATTCTGGACAAGATGAACGGCTCCCTTCTTTGGCAGAAGAACCTGAGACGCCCCCCGCGCTTCCTCAACCTCCTGGACATCATGAATCTCGAGCACCTCATGACCTACCTGTGACCTACCTCCTCTACACCTTGCTGGAATGTCTCGTGCTCTAACGCCCGGGATTGATGGAGCACCTGGCTCTAGCGCCCGCAGGAGTTCTTCACCGTTGAGGCCTAGCGTTGATCTATCGCATTCGACTTTCCCTCATCAACGAGCTCTACTACAAGTTCATGACCGAGCAGCTGAAGAAGTACCAGTTCCAGAAGCTGGCAACAAACGCTCAGCTGAACTAGATGCTGAACAACTTCGAGACCAAGCTCAGGAGACCGGAGATGAAATTCCTGTCCTCCGTCTTCAGTCACTGCTCCACAGACCAGTGAAGTGTTGAATATGACCGCCATGCCTCATGAAGTGATGGGGTTGCAAGCCAAGGCAGAAATTCATCCTCTTCGTCAGCTACAAGCTTTGGCCGCCCTGGATCGACGAGATCCCATTGGCAGCAGAGTGTTTGATCATGGCGCTTGGCGTGGTGATTGGCCACTTCCCTCAAGATCTACCTGGCAGCGCATGTCTGAAGAACCTTGGTTAGGTTTGGCCGCTTGGGAACCATGAAGCTGCTTCAGGGGTCTTCGCAGTGCTCACGGCTCGGAAGGAAAAGTCTTGGGGCTCCCTGACGGAGTTTGAGAAAAAGGAGTTCCGCGCAGCTGCTCAGAAAGGATGGGCTGTTTGGACGGACAATGATGCAGTGGAGATCCTTCCAGATGATGAAGCTGTCCACATTCGTGCAAGGTTGAAGGCGGAGAACCAAAGCCATCGAATTTTGGTTCCTCGCTCTGTCATCGTCGACAAGAACGACGGCCGCGCACAGAGACGAATCAGCTTCCTCTCCTGGCAAATGCTCGCCTGGTGGTCCTGGCTATCAGGACATCTCCGCCTATGGCATCCGGCGACACCCCAACGGCTTCAAGGACAAGTCAGCTCCTTCTCCTGGCCTACACAGCTTCTATGCAATGGAACCTTTGTCAGCTGACATAAAGTCCGCCTTCTTGAAAGGTGAAGAGTTTGGCCCCGAAGAAAGGGTGCTCTATCTGGCGAACATCAAGACCAAGCATGCTGTTGAGCCTACATTGCCTTTTGCAGGGTCAAGAAGGGCATGTTTGGCTTAGCCGACAGTCCTCGACGATGGTACCAACGCCTCAACAAGGCGGTGCCCAAGAGAGGCTGGAAGATTTCTACGTTGGATAGCGCAACGTGGATGCTTTGCGTGGAGTGCAGATGGATCGCAGCTTGAAGGCATCACGCTGTCGCATGTTGATGACCTGTTGATGGGTGGCAATGCCCGTGCTTAGAAGACCTTGGAGTCCCTTGGTGAAGAGTTGGGATTTGGCTCAATTTCCAACAAGTCCGTCGTCTACTGTGGCAAAAAGATTGAACAACTTCGATTTCTGTGTCAATGGAGGAGTACCATGCCAACTTGCAGCAGGTGAAGATCGCCCCTGACCGGAAGAAGACACCTGGCGCTGCCCTGCATCCCGCAGAGCACAAACAACTTCGTGCTGCGCTCGGCTCTCTACAGACAGTGGCTGGTCGCTCAGATCCGCTATGATGTTGTCGTGGACTGTGGGACGAAAGACATGGATAGCCGACATCTACTTCGCATTCTGAGCGAATGTCGCTGGTGCATCAAGTATTCACCCAGCTTTGCGAAACAAAGCTCCAAAGGAAAATCCGCTAAAAAGGTGGTTCTTGAAGATGTTCGCAGTGACTTGGGCACACCTTTTGAAAGCTCAGATCCGTTGAATGGGCCGGGCATGCGTTGAAGTTAGGGAAGCAGCCCGGATGGCGCCGAATCTCAGAAGAGTTGGCTGTACATGTTTGCTCCAACGCTCGATCGTTTCGATCGCCAGAACCCAGATTTAAGGTTGAAGACCTGCCGTATAGATTTAGCTTTGCATGCTTTGAAGGAGCTCATGCGGTTGTTGGGCGACGCCTTGAAGATGGTGTCAACATGAAGGATTTGAATGTTCGCGCCAATTTGGGTGCATCCGCTGCAACTCTGATTACCTTCTTTAGCCGGAATCCATCCCTGAGCCACAAAAGAATTGGGCCAGCTGTGAAATGATTTGCCTTGCCTCAGGTCGGATTCCTGCGTTTGAGGGCGAGTGATTTCTCATGTCCGCGGCCATTAGCCCTAAGCCATTTACTTGCTACGCTTCAGGCGAAAAGTGCGCCTGGAACCTCGTTCGGTCGAGTTTCCACATGTTTTTTGGATTTGTTTTTTTGCTTTTGCTTTTTCATTTGCTGATTTGTGCTTTTTGGACTTGTTTTTTTGCTTTTGCTTTTTCATTTGCTTTTTTGATTTGTTTTTTGTTTTTGTAGTTGCTTTGTTTGCTTTGTTTTTGCATTTTTACATTTCAAGATTCACAGAGTTAACCTGGGTCCGGCGATGTTAAATATATATTATATATATATCACATTATGAAACTGTGACAAAGTACGCAAGGGACTTCAACGTAAGACCGACCCTGCTTCAATGGTTGTAGCTGCTAAGAACGTAGAAAACAGTTCAGTGCTGAGCAGTGTCAATGATCAAGATGATTGAGAGTACACCCTCTTTTGGCAGACTACTACTAGTAGTGCTCTTTGCTACTACTTGTAGTAGCTTCATGTCACTAGTAGTAATGCCCTTGTTACTAATGTCGATGCACTTGCTACTACTAGCGATGCCCTTTGCTACTGCAAAGCTTGTGGGTTGCCACATCTGTTACACTCTGTCCAGCAGTGTCCAGCGGTGCAGGTTGCGCAGCAGGTGCTTGCCGAGGACAGTTCTCCAGCATCCCCTCGAAGGCAAGCTATGTCTTGAGTCCCAAAGCTGGCGAAGAGTGTCATGTTTTGTGTCCTCACTATGTACTGCATGTGCTATGGTACATGCATGCTCTTCAAGTATCTCCGTGCAAGAAGAGTGCCTGCAGTACGTAGGTACAGTGGTAACTTACTGTTGTTAATTCTAGAAGAAACCAATGAAGAAAGTTTTCTTGTTTCATGTTTTTGGCCGCTAGAAGGCCAAGAAGACAAAACATAGCATCGAGAAGCATGGAGTCTCATGGAGCATGCTCTGAATTCAGCATGTTACAGTACTTGCAAGCATGTGCCCCCACACCATTTTCTTGTCATTTCGTGTCTACTTGATTCTACTTGTTTACATACTTTAACTGCGTGAACCGTGTGGTCGGTTTTTTTCGCTTTGCCGCCAGGCACATGCCTCGGCAGACTCCACCCAGAGGGCCTGGCACCTGATAGCTTTGCGAATTTTGCGACGCAACCCATGTCTTTTTCACTGTCATTTTTGGCAAAAATCACATGTCTTTGACACACCGTCCTCACTTCGATCTTTGACACATCCTGATTTAACATTTGAGCATCTTGAAGCCGACGCCATGGCGATGATTGCTGCGCCATTGGCTGGAGCCTTTGAAATCCTTTGCTTTGCGCGTGGCATGATACCGATGTCAATGTGTCTCTCCACGCTGACTTTGGTGAGTGGACAGAATGTGTACTGATGTGTGCTTGTTCATTCCCATTTTGTGTGGCACAGGCTCACCCTGCTGTGGTTGGTCCCACCAGGCCATGTCGTGAGTAGAAAGGTGTTCACTTGGGTAAAGCATGACTTGACAAATTTCACGAGCCTAAAAGAAAAGACATCAGCATTGCTGTGGGTTGGTGGTTAAAGAATTGAAGGAAAAACTGAGTGTGCAGGGGTCTGGCTGCTGTGGATCCGCTTCGATGCAGCAAAGCAAGTGCCAACGGTGCTTTGACGGCAACTACAGTTGCTGTGGTCGCACGACACAAGAGAGTGCGGAAGATACTTGCCAAAGCAGAGAAGGAGGAGACTGAGGATGTGAAGGCGTGCATTTGCAGTTTCTTTGACTTGTGCGCCGAGCATGTCCGATGTGTGCTTGGCTGGAAGGATAGTGCTGAATCCACGAAGACCTCAGGGTTCAGGAGATGGTGGAAGAAGAGCCTTGCCTGAAAAGTGATGGGAAGATAATGGGAGACGAGTGAGACTAGTGACTCTTGTCTGTAATGGCTAGCGGTCCATGTCACATTGCTTTCTACAGAGCCATCAAGTTGCAAAAGATTCCAATATACTATATATTCCAATCCCCAAAGTTGCACTCTCCTCGAGTTGTTTCAGCTGCTGCATGCAGCTGTCAAGTTGCTCTAACTGAACTTATCAATCGCTGGACCTCTTTGCAGCAGCTAAGGACTGCCAAGATCGATGCCAAAGCTTTGCGAAAAATGGGCCTGATGTGATGTGCTCAGAACAGAATCAAGAAGTGTTAACTAGCTTTTCTCAGACGATGAGTATGAGTGAGTCACTTTGTGAGAATAGTGGGGTTGAATATCCTGTGCAATTGGTTTTACCTTGTTTTACCTTTTCTGTTGTGTAAATATCAACGAGGGGTGCATCCCTGGAATGTCTCTCAGGTGCCTCTTGTCTTATGGCTTTGTGTCGAATGTCAACGCGTTACTGCTTATCCTCCTAGCAACATACCGATCAATCCTGGCCACTGGGGCAAGCCCTTTGGCTAGCAAGGCGCGTGTCTTGCCTCGCAACCCTTTGTTTCATCTCAGATGTGTGCCTGTGTGCCATGAACACGACGTGCATCTCTGAGTCTCATATCGCCAAAATATCCTTTGGAGACTCATTCCAGCTCATTCCAGTTTGCTTGCCTGTGTGCGGTTTGTACACCTTCCTTAGTAAGGAAACAGTGCTGCACTGCACGATTGGGATTTGCTGGGAGTTGGTGGTCCTTTGGTTGAGTTCTAGACCCAAACTGCTTTTTCAAATGTTCCAGGCGTCGCTAAAGCAATTTGGCATCACGTGGGCAGGACTATACGCAACTCGGAGTTGTATAGAGGTGGACAACACTAAAAGAAGTCACCTTCTTTCAGCTGAAGTGGAAGGATCAAAGACTTGACTAGCAACAGAAGCGCCTCCTTAGAACATTGAGCCATTAAGCTTGTGCTAAAGTGGCCTGGTTGTTAAAGCAATTGGCAGGGCTTTGCACCCTTAAGGTGATCAGCAACATTGTCAGACCTGTGCGAATCAGTATCGCTTTGGCAATCTCGAAGCCATTTGATAAGCTCGTGAAATTCTTCGAGGAGACCTTAAGGGAATGACACTTTCTGTCAGTAGCTGGGCATGTGCTGTCCCTTTGGGTACATGGCTGTCAACCCCTTCATGAAGGAAAAACTAAAGTGCAAGCGTTGGATGGCGATTGGTGCGGTAGTGCTCTTCTTGAACGTGACATGGCTTGCATGGCTTAAAGTACCTTGAGATCTAGAAAGAATGTGCAACTGCTGAACATTATTGCTTTAGAACTTCAGATTTTGCAGCATTATTTTTACAAATCACGAAAGGTAGCCCTTTAGGGGATACCTTGAGTTTGTCTTGCGAAGCAAGTGTTGGCGCGTCCGGGTCTAATAATTGATCATTCAATTCCCCCCCCCCCCCTCGAATTGATTTCTCAATACAGACCACCCCCCCGGCCCCCTTGGAATTGATTTTTCAATACAGACCCCCCCCCCTCTAAATTCAATTCTCTCCTGGAGAACGTCTTCGTGAGCCTCTCATGATTTCAGGATAGTTGAAACCCTCTTGAACATTCAGAGACTCATCACCTTGCGTGTGCCGGGGTGAAGTCCTTTCTACCATGAACATTCAGAAAGAGTGCATATGAAATTCTAATCACGAAAGGTGTTCCCCGAGGGGATACATACCTAGAGTTTGTTTTGTGAAGCACGTCAATTCTCTCCTGGGGAACGTCTTCGTGAGCCTCTTATGATGGTTTCAGGATAGTTCAAATCCTATGATGCTTCGATTCAATGCTCACCGATGATCTGAGCCATGGGGCAAGTTTGTTTTCCTCAGAATCTTTTTGAACATTTCGAGAGCATATGTTTGAACATTTAGAGTGCATATGAACATATATTTACGACAGGTCGCCTCCGAGGGGATAAATCACCATGTCGAACATTGCATTTTTGTTCCTGCCTCTCGCGTTCTCTTCTCTTCCCGCTGTCCTACCTTTCGTGTCTCCCTCCTCTCAAGTGCTTTCAGTGGCCAGATCTGAGTCTGAGGTCTTCTTGACCATCGCCTTGCTTTGGGGTCGCTGAGCTGCCATTGTGTCCTGTTGGCTTGTTTTTGCTACTGTAAGTTTGAGACCTTGTCATCTCCATCATACTGTGTCATACTTGCAGTGTCAGACTTGTTCCTTTGACCGAGGTGGTATGATCCTGGTATCAAGCTTGCACCCCGTCAGTGTTCAGCCCGTGTTTCGGGAAAATTTGGAACATTTCAAGAGATTTCAAGTAAAGATCCGACATGAATACTGGACCTGATTCAAACATGTCAGTGGTACAACATATGCTGCGTTGCTATATTTTATCTGACTTACTTTCATTTGTTTTTGGCTAGGCCCTAGGCTGCATTGGCTTTGGCAGAAGAAGTAATTTATGGGCTAGTTGTTAAAAGTATTCCTCTTAAAGGTAGCGTGGCAGTCTCAGCCACTGGCTACATGTTGAGAGAAGTGTTGATTGAATTATTGAAGTTGTTTGCACAGTCGGTGTTGCTTAAATTGGTGTTGGTTTGCCTTTAGAACGTCAAGTTCACTCCTGACTCTTTGCGATTCTTTTTGTGAGGACTGGGGTCAAGGTGAGTGCTTCCCAGATTGGCGTCCTGCTAAAGGCGGGCAAAGCTGCCAAGGGGCTCTGAATCTATTTCAGCCGGAGTTGTTGGAGGAGCGGCAGATGACTGTAGATGAAAAATGGGCGATGTGTTGCTTGCCGAACATCCAAGTAACTGGCGGTCTGCAGCATATTCCTCAAAAGGCTGTGCTGCGATGTCGTTGGCTTGAGGAGTTGGTTCAAAAGAGAGATGAAATGAACAGTTGCGTTCAATTGGATCGGCCTAAGGCGTGATTGGTATTTGCTGGTGGGCACACGTCAAGGCACACTCCAGGTGGGCAGCCTGAGTGTTTTCCATTGACCAAGGAAGCTTTGTTTGGGGAGCGACACCGTGGTACATGTGGCGAAACCACACGAAACAAATTATGACCATACAAATTGCATGGAAATCATATGAAGCCATCAGACAAGAATTGCTGCAAATCATTCAGCACGGACTGTGGAATGTCGAAGTCCCAGGCTTTCGACATCGCAGAGTTGCTCTCTGACTTGCCTGTGTGGTCAAGGAATTGGCTTCGGGGTGGCCACATTCCGTGCCTCTTTGTCATCGTTCTACTCTTTGTGCTACAGTAGAACGATGCAGAACGGTATATAATGTTTCGACTGGTTCGATATGTTCGATTTTTCCAGCACTGGATTGTAGGATCCTTGCTCATCTTCCAAGAGAAGCTGCAGCATCATTCTTGCGTGGTGTCCTTGGAGGGATAGGGCCTGCGATTCATAGCTTTTTGTTGCTGAAACTTCATGACCTACCTGCCTTTGGATTTCGTCTTTAATATGGAAAATATTTGCCATGAATGCCAGCGATATGAAGGTCGACCAAAAAGGAATGGCCGCAGGGCTGGAAAGTTTAAGGCTGAGAGCGGACACATCACACTTGTTTGAATAGCACTTCGCCCAAAACCAGAGGTTGCAGTGTTGCAGTCTTGCCGAGCGCTGCATAAAAGAATCCCTAAGAATCCCAGAATGCTGGATCAGCACCTCACACTCGACAGGTGCCGGAAGAGAATGATGCGCGTCTCGCTGAAATAGAGCAGGAGAGAGTAACGTTCGATGCACCTTAACAAGGTGAAAGAGCTGTTCAGAAAGTGTTGCCTAATCAAGCCGAAGAGCATAATATATATATATATATTATTATGATATGTTTTGATATAACTAATAGGTTCATTTGCACGATATATCATGAATGCATGTATATCAGGATTGGACAAACTCTCTGGTTTGGGTCGGCTCCTGACCGTTTTGAAGAGGTCCCTTTGCCTAGAATGTTTGTCCATCACTCATGTAGTATAGTTTCAAAATTGAGCTTCAATTCGAATGATGACCATGTGTCGCATGTGTTGAAGGTTTGTGCCGCATGTGTTAGTTTATTGATGTGAATGATTCAATTCGCTATGAGGAGCACTTGGATGCCATGGAGCTCTCACGAGTTGGGGCTCCAAGCCTCAAACAAGACACCAAGACACTGCACTGATGCGCACTGCATACTTTTGAAAGTCGACTCCTTCAGCCAAAAGCAAGAACGTATTGAATACTGTACATGAAGGCTTGAGCTGCTTGGCGTCCTTTGCCAAATCTGGCGGCTTTTTGCTTGTTTGAAGTTTCTTGACAACTAGTGCTGCCCGGTTCTTAGTGTCAGCTTTGAGGCACCAGGACAACGGCCGTTTCCCAAGCACAGTGACGTCCCTCTTTTCAGCCGCTGGAGGCATGCAGCCATGCAATGTCGACACACTTAATCCATCACTGGTTGCATGCTGTTCAATACGAGGCAAAAATGCTGCACTGTCTTTTTTTCAGATTTGGGAGTGCTTTCGTTGTCCTTATGTTCCTGTTTTTCCTTGTTTGGAGCGTGTTTGATTTGATCAACTTGCTGCAGCCATTGGTTGTTTGCCAGGCGTCATGATTATGCCATTGAGGTGGTGAAATCCATCGCAGATCGGATTTTGACCATTGACACCAAACGCAACTTGAAGGTCTGTCGTGCGACGACCTAAGAAGCGCTTAGTACAAAGTACAAATTAGTACAAAGTACAAAGGTGCGTGGTTTCGAATGATATAGAATGAATACACGCGTGTTCTTGTTGATTTCTGTGGCTCACCAATACATGCAAATACATCGTGAAATGGCGTTTGAGGCGGAAGACAGCCGATGCTTGTTCTGCTTCCGTGTAACACCTGGAGCTGATCTTGTTTTGTTTTGTGAGAAAGATGTGGCTTAGTCTAATTTGGTTGTTTCCGGTGCTAAGAACTGCCTGATTTCTCCTGTTTGACGCCGCACTTGTCTTATTCGCAGGCAGGACAAAGTTACTAGTCACTAGTCTTGTCCGGAAAGGTTTTCTGAGCCATGCTTGATGGAAGGTCAATGCTCAAACTGGACGAGAGGAGGAGAACCACAATTGTATGCTAGGATGTGGCTAAATCCACAAAATCAACCAACAGGATATATACAGGGTATTGGGTCGAGAGGACACAACTTTCAGAGTTGACTGCTGGTTACTCGACATGGCCCATAACGGTTCATCCGCACTCAACAGTTAAAGCTCATGAATATTCAATCATATTCACACATATATATATATATAGATTCATTAACCGTAGACAGGAGGTTGGAGGCCATTGCTATTGGGTTGGAGGCCATCGGTATTAGGTTGGATGACATCGCTTTCTGGTTGGAGGCCATCGCTATTAGGTTGGATGACATCGCTATCAGGTTG